AGGAAGAGGACTGAGGAGGACAGAGAAGGAGGAAAACTGAGGAGTACTGAGGAGGATGGCTGAGGAGGATGACTGAGGAGGATGACTGATAGGGAGGAGGAGGAGAAGAAGGACTGAGGAGAAGGAGAAGGAGGAAGACCTAGGAGGATGAGGACCCAGGAGGAGGACTCAGGAGGAAGAGAACTCAGGAAGAGGACTGAGGAAGACTGAGAAGGAGGAGGACTGAGGAGTAATGAAGAGGATGACTGAGGAGGAGGAGCAGGATGAGAAGGACTGAGGAGGAGAAGAAGGAGGAAGACCTAGGAGGATGAGGACCCAGGAGGAGGACTCAGGAGGAAGAGGAGGAGGAGGACTCAGGAGGACTGAAAAGGAAGAGGACTGAGGAGAACTGAGGAGGAGGACTGAATAGGAGGAGGAGGAGGGGGACTGGGGGAGGACTGAGGATGAAGAAGACTGACGAGAAGGATGAGGAGGAGGACTGGGGAGGAGGACTGAGGACTGAGGAGGATGAAGAGGAGGAAGACCTAGGAGGAGGACTCAGGAAGAGGACTGAGGAAGACATAGAAGGAGGAGGACTGAGGAGTACTGAGGAGGATGACTGAATAGGATGACTGAGGAGGATGACTGAGAGGGAGGAGGAGGAGAAGAAGGACTGAGGAGAAGGAGAAGGAGGAGGACCTAGGAGGATGAGGACACAGGAGGAGGACTCAGGAGGAAGAGGAGGAGGAGGACTCAGGAGGACTGAAAAGGAAGAGGACTGAGGAGGAGGAGGACTGAATAGGAGGAGGAGGAGGAGGGGGACTGGGGAGGACTGAGGATGAAGAAGACTGACGAGAAGGATGAGGAGGAGGACTAAGGAGGATGAAGAGGAGGAAGACCCAGGAGGAGGAGGACTGAGGAGGAGGATGAGGACTGAGGAGGACTGATGAGGATGGCTGAGGAGAATGGCTGAGGAGGATGACTGAGAGGGAGGAGGAGGAGGAAGAGGACTGAGGAGGAGGAGTAGGACTGAGGAGGAGAAGGAGGAGGACCTAGGAGGAGGAGGACCCAGAAGGAGGACTCAGGAGGAGGAGAACTCAGGAAGAGGACTGAGGAAGACTGAGAAGGAGGAGGACTGAGGAGTACTGAAGAGGATGACTGAGGAGGAGGAGCAGGATGAGAAGGACTGAGGAGGAGAAGAAGGAGGAAGACCTAGGAGGATGAGGACCCAGGAGGAGGACTCAGGAGGAAGAGGAGGAGGAGGACTCAGGAGGACTGAAAAGGAAGAGGACTGAGGAGAACTGAGGAGGAGGACTGAATAGGAGGAGGAGGAGGGGGACTGGGGGAGGACTGAGGATGAAGAAGACTGACGAGAAGGATGAGGAGGAGGACTGAGGAGGAGGACTGAGGACTGAGGAGGATGAAGAGGAGGAAGACCTAGGAGGAGGACTCAGGAAGAGGACTGAGGAGGACAGAGAAGGAGGAGGACTGAGGAGTACTGAGGAGGATGACTGAATAGGATGACTGAGGAGGATGACTGAGAGGGAGGAGGAGGAGGAAGAGGACTGAGGAGAAGGAGTAGGACTGAGGAGGAGAAGGAGGAGGACCTAGGAGGAGGAGGACCCAGGAGGAGGACTCAGGAGGAGGAGAACTCAGGAAGAGGACTGAGGAAGACTGAGAAGGAGGAGGACTGAGGAGTAATGAAGAGGATGACTGAGGAGGAGGAGCAGGATGAGAAGGACTGAGGAGGAGAAGAAGGAGGAAGACCTAGGAGGATGAGGACCCAGGAGGAGGACTCAGGAGGAAGAGGAGGAGGAGGACTCAGGAGGACTGAAAAGGAAGAGGACTGAGGAGAACTGAGGAGGAGGACTAAATAGGAGGAGGAGGACTGGGGAGGACTGAGGAGGAGGACTGACGAGAAGGATGAGGAGGAGGACTGAGGACTGAGGAGGAAGAGGAGGAGGATGAAGAGGACCCAGGAGGAGGAGGACTGAAGAGGAGGACTGAGGATGAGGACTGAGGAGGAGGAGGAGGACTGAGGAGGAGGTGGACTTGGGGAGGACTGAGGAGGAGGAGGACTGACGAGAAGGATGAGGAGGAGGATTGAGGAGGACTGATGATTGAGGAGGAAGAGGAGGAGGATGAAGAGGAGGAGGAGGAGGGACCCAGGAGGAGGACCCAGGAGGTCCGGAGGAGGACCCAGGAGGAGGACCCAGGAGGAGGACCCAGGAGGAGGACCCAGGTCCCAGGTGGAGGACTCAGGAGGAGGAGGAGAACGACTGAGGAGGACTGAGGAGGAGGAGGAGGAGGAGGAGGAGGAGGAGGAGGAGGAGGAGTCTCCAAAAGCTGTGTCTCCAATGTCTCCAATGCCCCTAATATCCATTTTATGTCCCTAATGTCCCCAATGTCTCCAATGTCCCCAATGTCCCCAATGTCCCCAATGTCTCCAAAAGCTGTGTCTCTAATGTCCCTAATGTCCCCAATGTCCCCAATGTCTCCAATGTCTCCAAAAGCTGTGTCTCCAATGTCTCCAATGTCTCCAATGTCTCCAATGTCTTTGTCTTTTTCGAAAAGATAAGGTGCGGGAGACATTGGAGACATGTCACCCCCCCCCTTTATATCTGAATACGACTGCTCTATTGATGGTTCTTGTCAAAATATTAAAAAGATCAAGGCATAACTGTGTTTATTTCTGGATAAGATAATGATTGGTTGTGTCTTTAAACTAATTCCTACATGTCTATGTGCCAGCCATCAGCAAAAAGTCACACATGTATCAGCTTGAAATTTAATTTTTTCTAATTGATGAAATAATTATCGAAATTTCAGTTCTCTTGTTCAGTCACCATATTGACTTTTAGATTGAAGGTGCCATCAATCAGTTAAAATAAGGCCTGAACTCTGTACTGCTTACACTCAATTATGTCCCGAGTGCCCAAATTCAGCATATCAGTCATATAGATAAATGATGTAAAAAGACAAAAATTGTCTATTTCTTGATCCATGGGTGTACTAGTGTTAGTTTAAGCATCTATTTCGGAAAGTAATGTGTTCATAAAGGGGTCAAAACAGATAATAATATTAGAGTGCCACTAATCAGCTGTAGTGACTGCTGCAGCCAACGTGGGAATTACCAACTATTGTGAGTCAATATCAGCATTATTAATCATCTCAAACCACCGGATTGTTTATGTTTCAGATACGAATCTTAGTTAAGTTATATCCTGATAATTTGAACAGCATATGTGTCCTGAAAATCAGTAAAAATGACTTATTTGACAGAAATAGTCATTCTTACTGCTAAATGGCACTCATTTAGTTTAAAATATTGTTTGAGGGAGCGGTGTGCCTTTTTTTGTTTAATGTGGCACAATTTTGTTGCACTGTGTGCCATTATTCAGCTTAAAATGACTTCTTTTTCTAGGCATATACCAATGGTAAATCACATAAAATGTTTGCTTTGTAAGCAGTGTTGTGATAACCTGCTATAACTAACTTAAAAATAACACAATGAACTTCAAAAATCAATAGTATGTACCTAATTTCCATGATGAACATAATATTGTTGTCAGTAATCTACTTTATCGTGCCAATAGTCAGCAAAAAGTCATTTCTATGAAGATTTTAAGCTAAAAATATTATTTATAAAATGACTTTTTGTTGAATTAGAACACACAATATCGTTAGATTTTGTAAAGAATCATCTTGATGAACCTGCCTATACTGTCAGACATCAACTGTATAGTGCCAATATTCAGCAAAGAGTCATTTCTTTTGAATTTTTAATCGTGATGAATTTGACCTAAAAATGACTTTTTACTGAAAACTGACACACTCTTAATTTTATTTTCGAACAGAATGCTGTTGAGCAGACTTATTCTCGACAGTATGATTGAAAAACGTTCTAATTTGTTGCTGTCTAGCTACTGCAATGTAAAAAAAATCAATTGTAATTTTGTGAGTGAATTTTTACTGAATACAGGCACACAATAGGTTTTTCCTAGGTTACATTATTACAGACCAACGTTTCTTGAAAGTTGTTACAGTTCATTCACAAGCTGATCAAAAGTATGGGCCTTGTACAACCCCTTCAACCAAACTAGAAATTTTACCAAACAAATGACTGTTTGCTTATTTTGAGCACAGTTCAAGTATTCCTACCAAAATCCAAATATTCTTTGAATAATTTTGAGACATAATCTGAATTTTGAACAGAAAAGTCGCAAAATTCAGTTTTTTATGGGCGTTTTCAACATTATAGTCCAAAATGCTGAAAACTGGCACTGCCTTGGTACTATATTATGACATATTAACTAAGTAATGGATTTTCCTTACAGGGGCAGTTAAGATTGAAGGCATATCTGTGCAACACTTTCTAGTTACTAGTCATTTCACTTTCATTGTCAAAAGTGTCATGGCACTCAAAGTCATTTTCACCACACTTAAAAAAAAACGTGTCCATATCCAGGATAACGAATACCATCTGCCGAACCTATGCTGGCAATTCTTTACTATCTTTCCATAGATGAGCTTCTGGTCTATCTGTCATCATAATAATATGGTATAGTAGTACCATTAATTGTTAGTAATATTAATGATAACATTTTCCCAGTACATCTCTTGCAAGTTGGAAAGATATCGATGACCCATAATCCATATATATATAATAGTTGTTTTTGACCACTTTAAACGCATTTCAATGACCAATGACCAGTTGCAGTTTCAACAATTTTTGTGCAATTTTTGGAGCAATTTTCATTACTGACTTTACGTTGGCAACTAATTTGCGAAGGACAAATAAAACAATGAGTAAATCTGAGTTTCATTTGTCCTCCTCGTGATTATATTAGTTTTCAATTCAATTGAACTTGCTAAGGCACGTGAAGTCCGTGATGAAATTGCTTAACTCACGCTCTTCCCCGAATCCCCACTGCCAATACGTATTCTATAAATAACGTTTTATCGTGATTGAAATTGTCTATTATTCACAATCCAGCCCGCTTCAATCTTGAGGTACCTACCTCGGTCTGAATGCCAGAGTCTCTTTTTGTCAGAGGTTTCTCTATCATGTGACCCGGTTCTGCACTTTTACCGTACGGAGTAATCGTACTGAACTGCATGTGAAGTTCCAGCAGCTGGATCAACTCTGGGGACCGCTTAGCTGCTTCTGCTATGTGCGCTATGTACCTGTATAAAACAGTCATTTTCAGTCAGAAAGACCTAAAGTTTATCAGTTAGATCTACACCTGGTGAACATTCGGTTCTTAAACGGCGTTTTAAGCAGTCGTAAAATGGTGGTAAGCGGCTCTTAAACGGTGGTCGGTGTAAAACTGCACATAAAGACATAGAATATCAGTATTATAAACGGACAAAAACCATAAGGTGCGCACGATTAAGTTTATAATAGTTTATAATAGTTTATAATAGTTTATAATAGTTTATAATAGTTTATAATAGTTCCCCCATTCTTAAAGTTCCCCCATCGAGTTGTATAAAGCTCTCTTCATGTTTGGGGCTAAATTAAGATAGGAATAATTTATAATTATCACCAGATTTGGCATTGTTTAATGTTGTATAAAATGTATGTTTCCGGTACAGTTTTTATGATAGGCATTTTAACCTAGCACCTTCTAGATATCGTAATCAGGAATGTAACTACTAACAAATATTTGAGACATCTCATAAACACCTCATAAATGAGTGACCTTATAACCATGAGTTTTTGAATTATTTCTAACATAAAACCGTAATGCGTGAAAGGCCACGGGTCATACGGCATATTCCTCTTTTTGGAGCTCCGCCAAGTATTCGTAATCGCAGACGGTGAAACATCCTTTTTATTTTTGGTTCAACCGAACGTGATATTTGGGGGGGGTCCAACCCGATCAATTCCGATCATTCCGATCCCGATTTTGGCCTTATCAACCCTCATATCGGAAAAATCGGGAAAATTTAAATCTTCCCTCTGAGGTTTCTAGGCGATATAGGTAGCTATTTCTGTACTTAAATATGACAAGAAATCGATTGGTGGTGGTCCCAGAACCCCAAAACGGTATCTTGTTCCAAACAAGAATCGTTTCGTCCGAAAAACAACACAATGTCGTACCAACTCTTGTTTGACAGAAACATCCACCCCGGTCCACAATTGAAAGAGGTACGGTTGGTAATAACAATCGTAACAAATAGCGAACGCTTTAGTAACTTTTGATTTAAATTGTCTCCACAATTTGTAACAGGCTATCTGCAGAAATGGGTAGCACGGTTAATGACTATGGTCCTTTCTCAAACTTCCAATCCTCAGTTAGATACAAAGAATAGTCTACACAATTTTCAATAACATTAAAAGGGATGAAAATCACTTTATTTATCAAAATCTTTATTTATCATGTAACAACTTTTCCATAGTACTGGAGAGTAAAACTCTGTTAAACAAAAAAATTCTCGGGCACATTTTGAGTCAGTAACAGTAACATGTCAATATGTTACAGACTCAAATGCGTTTAAAAACATTTTAGTAACAATAAATTGTGTAAACTAATGAGGAGGAGGAGGAGGACTGAGGAGAAGGAGGACTGAGGAGGACAGAGGAGGAAGACTGAGGAGGACCAGGACGAGCACTAGGAGGATGAGGACGAGGACTAGGAGGATGAGGACGAGGACTAAGGACGATGAGGACGAGGACTAAGGACGAGGAGGAGGACGACTGAGGAGGAGGACTGATTAGGAGGAGGACTGATTAGGAGGAGGACTGATTAGGAGGAGAAGGAAGAGAAGAAGGAGGAGGAGGATGAGGAAGAGAAATGAGGAGGAGGAGGAAAAGGAGGAAGACTGAGGAGAAAGAGGAGGACCGAGGAGGCCTGAGGAGGAGGAGGACTGAAGAGGAGAGGGAGGACTGAGGAAGAGGAGCAGGATTGGTGTGGAGGAAGACGAGAAGGAGGAGGACGAGAGCGAGGACGAGGAGGAAGACTGAGGAGGAGGACTGTTAAAAAGGAGAAGGACGAGGACTGAGGAGGAGGACTGAGGATGAGGAGAAGGAGGACTGGGGGAGGACTAAGGACGAGGAGGACTGAGGAGGAGGACTGAGGATGAGGAGGAGGAGAAGGAGGACTAGGGAGGACTGAGGAAGAGGAGGACTTAGGGAGGACTGAGGAGGAGGAGGACTAAGGAGGATGATGAGGAGGAGGACTGAGGATGAGGAGGAGGAGAAGGAGGACTGGGGGAGGACTGATGAGGAGGAGGACTGGGGGAGGACTGAGGAGCAGGAGGATGACTTAGGAGTAGGAGGAGAAGGAGGAGAAGGAGGAAAAGGATGAGAGGGAGGAGGAGGACTGAGGAGGAGGAGGAGGACTTAGGAGTAGGAGGAGAAGAAGGAGAAGGAGGACTGGCGAGGAGGAGGACTGACGAGGAGGACTGACGAGGAGGAGAAGGACTGCGGAGGAGGAGGAGGACTGAGGAGAAGGAGGAGGAGGAGGACTGACGAGTAGGAGGAAGAGGAGGACTGAGGAGGAACAAGATGACGACTGAAGAGGATGAGGAGGATGAGAAGGAGGACTGGGGGAGGACTGAGGAAGAGGAGGACTTGGGGAGGAGGATGAGGAGGATGAGGACGATGAGACTGATGATGACTGAGGAGGAAGACTGAGGAGGATGAGGACGAGGACTAAGGACGAGGACTAGGAGGATGAGGACAAGGGCTAATGAAGAGGAGGAGGACGACTGAGGAGGAGGACTGATTAGGAGGAGAAGGAAGAGGAGAAGGAGGAGGATGAGGAGGAGGACTGAGGAGGAGGAGGAGGATGAGGACTGAGGAGGAATACTGAAGAGGACGAGGACTAAGGACGAGGAGGAGGCGGAGGACGACTGAGGAGGAGGAATGATTAGGAGGAGAAGAAAGAGGAGAAGGAGGAGGAGGAGTAGGAGGAGGAGGAGAAGGAGGAGGATTAGGACTGGGGGAGGACTGAGGAGGAGGATAAGGAGGAGGAGGACTAAGGACGAGGATGAGGACGAGGACGATTATGAGGAGGACAGAGGATGAGGACTGATGAGGAGGAGAAGGAGGAGGAGGATGAGGAGGAGAAAGAGGAGGAGGACTGGGGAGGACTCAGGAGGAAGAGGATGATGACTGAGGAGGAGGATGAGGACTGAGGAGGAGGACTCAGGAGGTGGACTCAGGAGGTGGAGGAGGATGAGAAGGACTCAGGAGGAGGAGGACGACTATGAGGAGGACTAAGGAGAACTGATGGGGAGGAGAAGGAGGATCAGGAGGAGAAATGCAGAGGATGAGGAGGAGGAGAAGGAGAAGGAGAAGGAGGAGGACTGGGAGTAGGACTGAGGAGGAGAAGGGGATTGAGGAGGAGGGTGAGGAGGACTGAGGAGAAGGACGAGGACGAGGACGAGGAGTCAGGAAGAGGACTGAAGAGGACTGAGGAGGAGAAGGACTCAGGAGAAGGAAGACTTAGGAGGAGGAGGACATCTAAATGTTTTGTCTGTTTTTGTCCGCCCTACTTTTTGTCCGTTTTGAAAATACAGGGTACCGAACGGACACAAAACATGATCCCCCAGCCAAGCATGTGTTACGATACAAATGTACTTGACTATACATTTAAGGTGCAGTGTACTAGTGATATTATGGTATGTTTAAAGACCGGACTACAAAATATAACCCTAGTGTTGTACTTATACATAATAACAAGTAACAGGGATAAAATTAATGAGCAGAAACAATCAATCTCAAGTCAAGAGGCCAAAGCACTCGGGTCTGGGAGTACATGACAACTCCAACTAGTAGTGAGCATACTAGCCCCTGCAGTGGAAAAACACATAAAACATACTATTGGAATGTCCAATTAGTTCGTTTTCTCATAACAATATAGCATATTTAGGGGTTTTTTATCACTTCCTCACTTCTGAGAGGTTTTAGAGATCGATTCTCTAAAATTTCTCAATTTTCCGATTTTTCCGATTTTTCCGATTCCGATTTTGGCCTCATCAACCCTCATATCGGACATCGGGTTGGACCCCCCCCCCCCCCATATTTATAGTTATTAAGTTTTGGCACGCCTTATTTCGGGCTCATGTTATCGAATATATTGTACATCAAAACATTAAGTTCTAGTGCAGCCGTATCAGCATACATTCGAAAATAGGCCATTTAATTAAGTTTTAACTTATCATACAGATGCTTTTGATTAATTTGGAAAACAAAAAAGTTTTATCAGCAGCGTTTTCTTAAATGATTGATTACATTCTGTAATGTAAAGGTGTCTTGTGTTGCGACTGTTTCACTCTAACTTTCACTCACCGGTCTGGGTCAGCAGCAAACTTGACAGCTGCTTCTTTAGAAGTAAAACAGAAGAAGTGATCCTTGTACCTCAGTACCCCAATAAGAGGATTACCTGAAAAGTGTATCGTTGTTACACCAATAGTTTTTAAATTAACACTAGAAAAAAATACCACTGCAATTCGGATAAAATTATTTAAGCATAGCATGCCAGCTGATTGCTAACCGAGGGAACTATCAATATAGCCCATTTACCTGGTAATAGAAGTCTGTCGTGGACGGCGATGCTAAACCCGCAGAAGCCCTTGTACTGAAGTGGTAGCTGACTGAAGTTCCGGGTTGTTTCCGGAAACAGGAATTCCAAGTTTTTAAAGTGAGGTGCGTGTTCCACCCGACCCTCCAGACCACTGGTTTCAGTTATCCTGAATAAGGAATTGAGTTGAAAAATGAAAGCGCTTTAGTTTCAGCTAAATCCGCTCTCAAATATACAATTTTTCTACTTTTGCTTCAACAGATTTCACGGAAATCTAATTTCCATGTTTTTGAAGACGACCCCTCACCTCTCCTCGTCACTCCTCAAGATAAGGCCCGTGAGGAGGGGTTGTAAGATACTATCTGGCAACACTTCCTTGTGAGACCGAGTGAAGGGCTCCAAGTTGGCCTGGATGTTGCTGATAACGGAGAGAAGGACCATCTCGTCCTGGAACCCAGTCCATATCTTAGCCAGCGAGATGAACTTAGGGTATACCTGATAAACCATTCATGTCAGGGAGTGGGAGGAGGTTAGGGTACATAAGATATGAAATATCGGGGGAATAAATTTAGTAATTATCTTCCCTTCATGGATATGATAGCCTAGCCCTAACAACCCAATGCCCATAATTCCCAAAAATATCACCTTATCTCTCATTGTTGTCGCCAATTTTGGCTGTTACTCGTATCCAAATCCTTTCACTAGACATTCCTATCCAGCTATTCCTACATATTTCTTATTTTTGATTTCGTCATGCCCCACGAATTTGTCTTTCAGTCGGGGTTCGGGTTGGGATCGGGGGTCATAGACAATAGACATGCTTAGGCAGGTTGAAAATGATTGTTTATTGATTTGGTATAGTTGGGGGGGCGTCGGATTTTTTAACTATATATTATAACGATTTAGTGAATATTCTAAATTTTGTATGAGTACAATACCTGGTTAGTTGGGACAGCCGTTTTGCTCTGAATAGTGTTCTGCAGCTGAATCAGCACCGACCTCAAATCCCTCTCCAACGTGTTCACTTGATCTGTTGCCACAACAACATCGTTCAGCAGCACCTAGCACATAGGTTACTGTTAAGTTCGATTCCTTTGATATTCGCATATTCAACAATATTATCTCATATTATATTTCAGATGTTTGGGATGTTTTCCGTTGGTGGGGTCTCGTCAATTCATTATCTTCCGGGTGATGCACTTTAATTGGGAGGCTTCTGTAAACCAATTCAGGGATTACCCTCAGCATTAGCAAATTCAGGTTATAATTAAGCCAATGACTAAACAATGACCCCGTTCACAAATCATCCGGTTATTTTATACCCGGACCGTTTTTATCAAGTTGCATAACGTAATCCACTAATTAAGCAGACATGCGGTTTGTTCATTATTCCCTCACTTTCCTTTAAAGGTGACGTCAACTCGTCAAGTCACAGGTGTCATATCTTGTGATATCATGTACCTATCCGCACCCATATTTGCTGCACCAGCTGCACACAATGTTATCTCTCGACCAATGTTTATCGTACTTCAGATTGGAAGTACGACGTTTTTCTTTAGTTTGGTATTTACTTTAATGTTTAATCAGTGTATGTTACATCAGTATTTAATCAGTATACGCCACTCCTTCGTCCTTTGTATTTTACTTTAACTGCACTATCACACCTTCGTGTAAAACACAGTACATTGCTCACACGCGAAATTCCTACATGAAACTGCTCCTAAACGACACTCAAATCCCAAAAAACAAGTCAAACCATTCAACTCGGTACTCGGCACTGGAAACACTGCAACATTCACTATGCACTGGAAACTCTGCAACATTCACTATGCACTGGAAACACTGCAACATTCACTATGCACTGGAAACTCTGCAACATTCACTATGCACTGGAAACTCTGTGCTCGGTATTTGATCTCACCTTTAAAAACGCCTCGTGTTGTCTACAATTGATAACAGCTTGACGCAGCATATCTGGTTCAGGTTCCTCCAGCAGCTCCGCATTCTGTCGTTCGATCAGCGCCGTGTACCGTGATATGAACCTGATGTGGAACATGGCGTTAATAATTTATGAAACCTTGTTTAATTTTGAGAACTTATAAATCTATGCTCAGTTGTAGAAGCGCTTCCCTTTTATACAATAATTTGAAATGTGCCTTTTTGTCATTCAAACGGATTAAGTTCATAACATTGAGATTTCATTTGATGATGAAATCTATGTTAGATTTAATATTTGCAGATTAAAAACGCGTGATTCATTCTGTTGAAGAGATAGTGCCCAATTTAACAGCAAGGAGCAGTTTGTCATAAAACCGTAGCTCATGCTCAATATGTGTAGAGTCAAATTAGCTTACCATTAGCAAAATTTGAACGCAGCCACAGAAAATGTGATCTAAAAGCACGGTTGGGTAATCCGTCAGTCTGAGTCCGGCCACTTTTTCTCTTGATTTTAAGAGGTCACGTGACATTACTAGTACCGCGGGACAAATTGTGCATAGGTTAATAGATTATCCCCCTTAAGTGCTATCAAATGCAGCAGGTGATACTGGTAATCTAGCTTTATCTATTTGTCGCCGGGAGTACTCCATTCTCATTGATCAGCTGCATTACTGCACCAGACATTTGATCATTTAATCGCTGCACCTGAGTACGACAATTACCAGAAATGCTGCTGAATCCTTAGCGGCTGAAGTGCACAACAATATCATTTTTACGAGACGAACTTGTGAACTTATTATATGAGGCTGTTAGCTCATAACTTGGCCAAGGATGGCCCTTTAATCATTCGTCTACTCACTTTTAGGAAACATTATGCATTTCCGTCAGCGAGAAAACGGGTTTTCTTTTAATAATTTTACCATTCTGTTCCTGGGATTCGTCACATTAGATTTCACTCGAGATCTACATTTATACGTAATCTAAGCGTTTTGGAATTTTTCAAAAACCCCGTAACTTTACCTTGAAAATACCTAACACAATCTCCCAATTAGAATGAGCTGGAAAGATAGCGCAGGAATCTGGCACTTGCCCTCAGTAGACCACTTTCTCGGAGCCCTCTGTCTAACCTGCCTCCTTATCGGCACTCCTAGCAACCTCACCGCCCTCATCTACTTCTCCAAGAAACGTGTACGTGACACACCCACACTCCTGTACGTGACTATCACTCTCACGGACACCGTCACGTGTGTGCTGATAACCCCGGTAGCGATCACCATGTTTTCCGGTAGGAGTCCGGGCATGTTTGGGAGTTTTACAGCGTGTAATATGTGGGGCTTGCTTTGGGAGATTCAGCCTTATTATTCTGTGTTTCTCGTGTTCATGTTGACGGTTCTCAGAACGGTTTCGCTCGTTAAACCCCTCATTGTTATAAAAACCCGACGGGTTTTAGCCGTGCTGATCGGGTATTTCGCGTTCCTCGTGATCAGATTCATTGTAGGACTGGCAGCAAATCTGGGACGTTACAGATACGAAGCTAAGGATGGCTACCCCTACAACCACTTTACAAACCCTTGGTTCGCACAGTGGGATATTATTGCCGGGGTGGTGCTACTAGCGTTCCCCATAATCCCTGTAGCAGTGAGCTGTGTAATGTCCGTGTATATAGTCCGGAGTTCTGTGTCTGCATGCCAGGAGGAGGTCTCCAGTAGGACTCGGGGAAAGAAACGGAACAGTAAACACAGAGCAACAACAACTATACTGCTCCTAACAATCATCTACATAGTCTTCAACATTCCTGTCTTCATAAACTACATTAGACTAGCCGTAATAGTATTCAGTTCAAGCCACAAAGACTTCCTGAACCCAGACGGAAACAACAGGTTTGTCCACGCGTACGCATGGCTCTTCACCTATATCATATCAGTAGCTCTGAACGCTTTGGTAAATCCAATAGTATATTTATTCCGCATGCCCCGGTTTAGACAGTCTATCAAGGATATCTGGATTTGTAAGCTAGACTTCCGACAACTGGACAGCTCAGCTACGATAGTGAGCAACAGGGTGGTCCCGGTTATACCTATTAATGGTTACAACGATCACCAGTTAGGACTAACCTCACCTTCTTCAGTGGGTCTGGTTATAGACTTGGGTAATAGACTAGAGGATGTGACAGATAAAACTACTAGCACTGCATCAGGGGAACTACACCAGGTGTGTGTAACATAGAGAGGCTTTTATAAAAGCTATTTTAGGAGATAATGCCCAATTTAAGTATTAAAATAGATTATTTTTTTAATGGGCGCATTTGTCTTATGGCGCAAAGCAATTTCGTAAATTCAGGAAAATTGTCCTTCTATCCGCAATACCCTCCCCCACCTAACAACTTACAGTCGGGTACTATTCAGTTCGTTCTCAATGTTCATGGTAGCGGAAGGGATTGCTTCGTTGAGGATGGAGGGCAGGTTGTCAATACCCTCTCCACCTTTACCACATTCCTTGTTAAATAACCGGATACCTGTCACTATCTGAGTTAGTTCACGTAGCTGGCGCTCCTGAGAACAGATTACGAATTACGATCAACAACTATTTTATGCTCGTTTTGAGTTATTTAGTGACGGTATTTATTAATGATTTTAGATTTTTTTGTCATATATCATATTGAAATTATGTATTATTTGTAGACTGATGCAATACTCGAATATTAATCAGGAATATATATGGGTGTTGAAAAATCTTAGGCATAGATATTTTGATATATTATGTAGCTGTAGTTAACTTTAAAGAACGACTTTTTCTTCTGTACAGTAATACGAGTGTTCTTATTTGCTGAACCGCAAACGCTTCTATACAAAATAAATTGGGCCATAAATTGCAATGCATACCTTGTCTCGCTTGGTAAGAGACATGAACGTGCCCAGCTCGGTTTGAGGGAACACGCTCTGGAGAGCTGCAGTTGCTTCTCTCACTACTGATATATCAGTGGGGGAACCTAGCCCTGACCTGAGGTTTAGTAGTAGTTAGTAAAGTTATAGAATTATCAAGACTTACTCGTGTACCTCACTGTACTGAACACAGTGTCTGTCTGGAATACTGCGCAATGGATGGAGCCTCAGTGTAAACTGTAAGGATTAAATTAAATGTTTACTCATTACCCCTAAACCATTAAAATGTCTAATCAATAGTTTAAGTTACCAGGACCCACCTGAGAAGAACACAGCTGACAATTTTGCGGTAGAGTCCCTCCAGTTCCTCTCTCGTCCTAGCTCGGCTGTCTGTTATCTCTCTCATCACCTGGAGAAAATATATATTTTGAGATAATTGTTAATAGCTAATAATGTTTTGGGGTCCTGCCCTCAATATTATGGAAATTACCATTAGCAATCATCAATGCTAGCCATATTTTAGATCACATAGAACGAGGTCCTCAGCCCACCTAAACGTACAGGACTACAGCCCGGTTAGACCTAACCGATATTACGATAGGTTATTATAACTCATTGAAGTCTGCGCAGGATATCACTAAAAGATAATCTGGTTAATCAGAAATGGGTACAGGTTTAAGTCAGGTTACTGAAGAACATTAAGAGATTTCTCAAGACGAATTTATATCAGCAGGAATTTCAAGAGGTGACTATTTAAGACCAGAAAAATTTCGAACCATCACATTTACAGTTTATTTTTGACCTCTTTAACACATTGACATGGTTACACTTCATTTTCTCGTGTTGTCACTGTTGGTGAGCAGCGCATATTGTCGCAGACTGAGCAAAGTAGCAGCGAGAGTAAAGGACCAGATTGAAGGACTAACATCAGAAATACAGTCTCTACAGGAGCTTCAATCTGACAGCTTAGTACGAGTACTGCTAGGACCTGATGCAGAGGAAGTGGAAAGTTCTTGCTTCAAGACATGTGTGGGAGATACAGGAAAGGGGGAAACTGAGTGGGAAGATATTGAAAAAGAGGGGAAGATCCTGACTAGAATTGATATCTCTGCCTGCAGATTCACCTCCTCACCGATCATCACCACAGCGCTCTCCGGGGACGGTCACCACGACAAGATTATTGGAGTGAGTGCTCCGTTTGAGCTTACCAACAATGGGTTTATTGTCAATCTGCTGGGAGAGACCGTTACAGGATTCGAAGATCACAGAAATCCTATTGATCTGGACAAAGCGAACCGATTCAACTGGCATATCTTTTGGATTGCGGTTGGAAACACTTGTTAAACAAAACCTGCACGTCGCGATATTTTAAAATGACGATTTGTCTTCTTTTAGTTTGCTGTTCCCATTGATATTATATATATGTTATTCTATAACAAGTTACAGCTGTTTCAATTGGCGAATAAATGACAATTATTATTTAAAACTTGAAAATAGAATATTGATAACAATAACCAACGAAAAGTATTCCGTTTACCGGTTGCAATCTGGACTCCAGAACTCTTTTGTGTTCTTCCAAGAATTCATTCCGGTTAGTGTAGTTCATGTCAAAGTAAACCTGGTTGAATATCCGACGTCAGTCAATACAATCAATACAGTCAATACAATCAATTAAAAACCCAACAAGTTGAAAACGTTCAAATTTATTAAAAATAAAACACCAAATCAACTAATTTAGGATGTACAGTTAACAAATACTGGTACCTGCATCTTGATGGTATCGAGACTTGGAGATGCGCTCATCAGAAGTCGATCTACACATGTTTTAATGAGTTTCTGCACATCGTCCTTCGTTAGAGTTCGCTCAACATTAAACTGGTTGTCGGGGTCTAAAACAACCTGAAAAAGGATAATTACCTTCGTTGACACAAAGTAGATAATTAGGACAAATAATGTTATTAACTCTTGTCTGCTTTCAACACTACTATATAACTTTCAACACTACTATATATAACAAATAATTTGAGGTATGTGACATGTACGCAAACAAGTAGTGGGATAGATAAGACAATACGAAAACTCAGACCAGATAACGCCTCAATACCTGAAACTGAAGATCTCCTTCTTCTCGTCTTCCCAAATATACAAAGGGAGTCCGACCCATAAGTCGGAACCTCTCCGGTTGGTTCAAACTTTTTCGATTTTGATCCAGTCTTTGGCCCAACCTCCTTACTACTATCTAATTAGCTTGGATTTGGTTTTGGTATCTTCATCCTCTTTGGTACTATACCAGGCGAAACTATTATTTCCTTGACTAATGTCTCAACCCCCCAGATTGACAAGATACACCGTAAACTTCAGCTGATTGCCCCACAGGACTACGACTTGGACGGCAGGATCGAACTATTGAAGTCCAGCGTAATTTACAACAACGGGCTAAGTGAATACAATGAATCTGACATACAGGTGATATTCAAAAATGGTGATTTTGTGGATTTTAAAACAAAAGATGACAGTTTTGAAGGGCTGTTTCCAAAAAACAAGTCTGGCAAAGTGTTATATCCATGCCAAGTATGTGCTGGGGAAGTCACAGACAAAAGTGATTCCAGTGGATCGGGAATTGAATGTGATGGTTGTAACATGTATTTTCACAACCAATGCTCTAGCAGACCCCTTACTAAACCAGAATTTGATTTTATTACAAAGTCCCCTGGCTATGTCAAGGTTCTATGTCCACCCTGCAATAGAGTATATGGCAGTGCTGCCCTTAAGCTAAGGCGAATTGAAAAGAAGGTTACCAAGACGGCAAATACAATTAATCTCATGTCAGATCAGGTAGAGGACCTTGTTAGTATTGCCAGTAAACCATCCTATAGTGGAGTGACCAGTAAAGCAAGTAATGCGAATCACCATCGAAGTGCTTTGCTTCCTACAAACTTGGTTGAGAGTCTCCACACAATGACTAAATCTACTAGGGATAGCCAGAATGCAGATAAGCTTAAACGGATAAGAGTGGCAGTCAGACCAGGTGACACTAACATCCGCACCAGTCGTGATATCAGGAAAGAGTTCAACAAACACCACAAAGGCTTAGTCATTAAACACTGTCGCCTAACAGCATCTGGTTCTATAACCTTTGAGTTTGAGGATGAGACCACTGCCAAGTCAGTTCATGATAGCTGGTCTACTGAATTCTTTGGAGGAAATAAGGGCATGAAAATTCCGGGAGCTGACAACACCACTGGAATAGTCAAACACGTTTACGATGACCTATCTGAAGATCAGATGAAAGATGATATCATGAATAATTACTCAGAGGATATCTTCTAAACTCATTTCTTTTTGTCCTTGACAGACTGAAATGGCCATCTCCCTATTGCTCCTGTGGTCATGAAGAACAAACTGCAATTCATATACTGACTAGTTGTGGTCATGTTGACGAAGACCTTAGGGACCAAGCCTCATATCTTCTCAGTATTGGTAACGAGGTCTCCAATCTGGAAGATCTGGGTACTCCACACTTGGCGATCCAAAACTGCTCCAGAGATCCAAAGTTCATCCAAATCTGCAGTGAATGCGTGAATAATGATGACCTCAAGCTAAGAAGGAAGATCTGTATTTCTACAGGGCCCACCCACGCCTAGCTGGGGAGTCTAGTCCCTACACTAGACGGCCAATGCTCTATCCATTGGTATGTACGCGGCCTTACCCAGGCCTGTAATAAATGGGGAGTCCCTCTTAGGACGACCAGTGCTAGACACTGTTTACTACTGACTGAATGGAAACCTATTTTACTCTTCGGATTGGTAGAACCTGTCTGGTTACATGAACATTGGAGCTAGTTTTATATTAACTCACATGATATTATTGTCGACTTAGACTGCTTGGATGTATCACATCTCAACCATTGTTGGGTGTGTTACTTTGTTATGGGCTTCACTTTTAAGCTTTATTGATTTTATCTATAAAAGTGCATCTCCATTGATATTTATGTAACTCAAAAAACTTTTTCTACCAAAAACGTTTTTGATCGGGAATCGTCTTTAAACTATTTTGGGGAATATTTTGACTTGATATAACGACGTCGTCGTAATGACACAAGTGACTGATCAACCACCTTATTTGATAGTGTTTTTAAAAATAAAGTATTTATATTTTTAACTTGGGGTGTAAATATTTTTAGGGTTTTTATTTTTTTAAATTTCAGATCTTTCATACTATTTGTTACTAAAATGCTCATTGTAGCCTATAATATTTAGATTTTCATCATCATCTTGTCTGCTTTACCGGGCAGAAAACTCGAAATTAAATTACGCGTGTGAAATGTTAATATATCATTGGATACAATAGTGGTGACAAATAAATGATATTAAACATACCGCCTTGACCATGAAAGCCACCAGAGTCTCGCTAACAGCTTGACCTTTCACTGCACATTCTTGAGCTATCTCTCGGATAATGTTCTTGATAACAGATTCAGCTTGAGCTCTCGACATCGCTAAAACCTTAATAGAAAATAAATTTAGGAAACTGGCTTTTTAAAAATGAAATGAACTTGCAAAATCTTGTCCCATTTTACTGAATGAACGAAGTATTTGCTAGAAAATGAACCGTATTTGGCGCTGTATTCGCGCGCCGTTTCCAATGGTTACACAAAATGCTGAAAAAGTACACTTTCAATATTGCAAGAGGTCGCGGAGTTTGCGCTCTTACGACGCCGATTACTAGGTACAATATCTGTGCTCCAGACCCCAGATCGAAGAGTTTTGCTTGACAAAATATGTACTGCTTACAATAGCATCTCGATAACTTACAAACACTACATCTGTACAATAGTTACATGTATATACATTAAAAGAAGTGTCAACGATAAAATTCACCGGTCAGGAGTCAGCTTTTATGCACAAATCAATCTCAACTTCATTAACAGCCAAATTAATCATTATATATATCTAGATCTAATATAAATATTCCCTCTGAATTAAATACTAAAGAAAGTTCTCTTTATTTCACTTAATTTTTGCTCTATTCATCAACTCCTCAAGTTTTTTGACCCGTTTGTTGAGAGTGTCCTGATCAGCAGCTAGCCTGCGCTGGGCACGCTCCAATCTCTTACGCTCCTCCAACAAAATAGCACGTTCTTTGCCGAACTGTTCCGTCTGTAACGCTGCCCAATCTTTACATAGCTGTGTGTGGTCGTTACATTGTCTGAAGGGATGCATATTTGTTAAGGGTAAGCGACTAAAGAATACCTTCGGGGCTGTTCAGTCCTCAAAAGGTGTACAGCTATTTTTTTAGATTTTTACCGATTCGTGGCTTTTGAGACGAAGTCTCTTAAAGCCATCATCGAAGGGTGGAAATCGAGATAATTTTACGATATACGAGGATAGCGACCTAATTCGAGTCCGTACAAATATTTTAGCTAGTGCACATATCGTTCTAAAAGTTGCCTGTTTAGTTCTAGTTGCTATGGTAGCATCCGCAAAGTTGTTTTATATTTGCGGGTTGAATCATTGTCTTAAATGTATGGCGCTAAACATGAAGAAAAATCAATGATCAATTGATCATTCTGAGTTTAAGCCAAGATTATTACCAGATTACGATCAGAAGATATGGCAATGCAGTGGCTGAATGGTGCACAAATATCCGGATATTTTGCAATAATCCCATTTGTTGATTTATTTATATCAGTTACCTGATATTTGTATATTTCCAAATTTCATGATGCCTAATATGCTGTACAATGAGCATAGCTTTGAAGTAGGACGAACAGAGGACGAACTTTTAGTTATCAGTATTAACAATATCATTGTAAATATCACAAGCATATAAAACATTGCCACGGATATAACGTTAACAGGTGCACAATGCACTATCCACCAGATAGTTATTATAGTCCGACAGTGCACTATGAGGGACACTGGGGCAGTGACCGACATCAGACTAGTAATAACCGGTAGTGTTTACCACGTGACCAAGGATACCCCTAAAGAGAGACGCGCACCCAGTTTCTATGTTGACCATATTTATTAAAACCTGAGCATTACCATGGTCACTGACCCAGAACCCATGGTCAGTCTCGCCTATGTCTCAGTCACCTTTTGCACTGTTCCACTATGCAGCTATGAATATTACTGATTGCTTCTTTTAGTGAATTTTCTAATCTATTAAAAACTGCATTAAATAAATCCATCCATATCATCTTATAAGCGGTAATCTGCTAAATCATAATTGATGAACACTTTCCCTTACTCGTTAAAACAATTTAAATGCTTGGAACTGCAAAATGTAAATAGAGTTGCATATGATTATGATTTTTCGATTTTGATTTATGGCAGCCATTAATCATCTAACTTGATTAATCCAAGTGACACATAGAATAGTTTCTGGACGTTACAGTAATTCGAAAGCCAGGAAGGTCCATTTTTCTTTTCTTGGGCATAGATAACTCAAATTTGTAGTTGATTAGAGGCAATATATTGTGATTTTACCCTAAGATACTGAAAGCAATGTTCGAGACGATTTGCTCAGCTAGTCCATGAGGGTCTTCACTCTTCAGCATTATCAACCAGTTAGCCGGATAGCAGGTAAATGCATCACATCAGACTGGTACACTATATTAGTGTCTGATATAATACCCTGCACAAAACAGATAAAATTATATGATTAATACAGTGCACCATAATAACAAAGAGAATATAGTCTGTTCTGTTAGACACCATGGTGTACCAGTCTGATTCCGACTGATACACCATGGTGTCTAACAGAACAGACTATATTGTGCACTGTAAGGGTACTCATCATTAAACATTGTCAAATTTCTATTCTGTTAATATGTTACTTTCGTCGTGGTAGAATGTTAAAATTCTACTTTCATTTCTTTTCAATTGCCGTGTCATCAAGTGATGCCGCTGGGTAATGGTCCTATGGGTCGCTTTAATTAACAGTGGTGCCGCTTAAATGTTTACAAATTAGTATCAAGTATACGTAAAGTAACTCAGTTTCATAAAGTTGCGCCACATATTAAAAACTGCAATTTTTATCTTAATATTAATTTCCCTTTAGGAAGGATGAGATTAAAGGTCCTCCTTCTACTATGCTTCATAGTAGCAGTATCTGCGGGCAAAAAGGGCAAAAATAAAAAACAACCAGCGACAGAACCTCCAATAGGAGCTTATGGAGAGGATGCAACCTTCATCCTCAACCAGCCTGTTACAAAAAACGCTAAAAAGTTCTCAAAAGTAATGAAAGACCAAAACGTTGTGGGTACATGTAGGTATCTGCTCTTCAAGGCTATGAAGACTTGGAACGATGCCAAAGATTCCTGTGACAGTCTCATCCTTCCCATGACACTCCGAGTTAAGGGCTCTATGGCGACCATCAAAACGGAGGATGAGAACAAAGACATGGTAATGCTAATGAAGATGGCACATGGAGTAAAGCACGTAGGCGGCAAATATGACAGGTTAAACTGGGTTTGGCTTGGTATGAAGAAGATAATGAACACTGGAGTTCACCTTTCTAAAGAGGAAATAGGAGAGAAGAACTTCAACGCGTCTGAGTGGAGATGGGTGGACGGGTCTATCCCGGAGTGGTGGAGATGGCAGAGAGACATGCCTGATCAGGACTACGACAAAAAGAAGGATATATTCCAGGACAGAGTTTCTCTTAGCAAGAAAGGACGGTGGGATGATAGCTTCGGGCAAAAGAAGATGCCGTACGCGTGTAACTACTGCGGTAAGTACATAGTGGTGCAGAAACACGTGAAATGGGACCAAGCTAAGGAGCTTTGTGAATCGATGGGACTGACCATGGCAAAGATCAACAACCGTGAGGAAAACGAGGAACTTGATATGGCCGCCAGACTGATGATGGGGGATGAAGTGGGTGAGAGAAGGTGGAACCAAACTAATTGGATCTGGATCGGGACACGGGAGGTAATGGATGAGGATGGTGTGGGGACTGGTGTCTGGCAGCATCACGATGGTACTGAGCTACTCTGGGAGAGCCCTCCGTGGGACTTCAAGAGGCAGCCTGATAACGAGATTAGGGGAAAGAAGGGTGAGCAGCAGGTTTTAGCTTTCTCAAGGATCAACACGAAATGGGATGATTCCTTCCCTCATAGAAAGCGTCCGTTTGCTTGCATGTGTCCAGAGGCAGCCTGCACGACTAACATTTACTGAAGTGGAAACTGAGGAGAGGTCGGCGTGTAATAGGAATGAGCTCGATTAATTTTCATTTTGTAGGTGTTAATTTCATTTTTGGTCAAATTTCTCCTCGTTATAATATTGTGACTTGTAAGCTTTGAAATTCTATTTCAATTAACTTTGTGCTCATTCATAGGTCGTAATATTTAAAGATTTGGGAGTTCTTCGTCATCTTTAGGATTTTAGTTGTATTGTATGAATTTATATTACTGCATTATAAAGTTATAACCAACATGCTTATCATTGTTTCCCACTGGTTTAATGTCACAAAAAACAGTCACATGAAACTTAAAGAAGAATGTTGTCTAGTTACCGACTGTACAGTGTACATACCACAGTGAGTGGTTATTAAAATATGTAGCATTCAGCTCGGTCTATATCTCTAGTCTATATTTCATTACTTACTAATATCATAAAGTCAAACTTACTTACATGATATTACGATCAATAATTAGATAAACCACATAGAATAATTTAAAAGGTAGCTTTTCTTTATTCGTAAACTGTTATCTCATCGAACTTCAACTAGCTAATCTCACCAAACCTCTACAAAGTTGAACCCGAATTTTAATTAAACGAGGTTAACAGGTGAGCTGGAATTGTTTTTTGTAATTTAGCGAGACTAATCACCGACTCAAGTAGTTGACTTGTTACAACTTCTAAGAAACCACTGCGGCACGTACAACAGGTAAGATTGCGAGTTAACTCTGGCAATGTTTTCTTTAATAAAATAATGCAAATTCTTAGGACTAATATTTTCATTAAAATATGTTCTGTCACGTTTGCTTATGATTCCAGGGATAATATCCGGTAGTAGAGACTAGGTAGGACAAGTGAAACTACTGTTTAGGAGGAAACGCGAGCTTTCAGTGTGCTACACTTTCATCAGGCTCAAATTATTTGTTATATAGTAGTGTTGAAAGTATTAAAAGGATCCAGGATCTCATGTTTGCTTAATATTGTTGATCAGCAATGATAGTTACCTTACGAGACATATTTAAAAGGTATGAAATTACACCTGGAAATACACTGGAGAGAGAAACGTCCCTGAACCAGAAGATCAAGAAGATCAAGAGGAACTTGACTTGTAATTTTTCAAATTTCATATTTTATTTTATTGATTTTCTCAAATATTGGGTTTTATTTTTGTAAAATATTAAGAAATGATAAAAATCCCCAAATACCATGATTTAATTTGGGGTATGAAATGAGTTGGTTTTCGGCAAAAAAAATCCCATATTTTCGTTCCCAAATCATTTAGGTCAACGGAATTTCGTACATTTTAAATATGTCTCGTAAGGTACTATAAACTACCGAATTTGTATATTAAATTCTCTCATATTTAATAAATTGTACTCTTCTCCACTTAGAGTTAGACACTAGAATTCTTTTGTTACAGACAGTGACACAACGGTCCCGTCTGGAACATATCATTGCTAGACCTCACGTAACAATCACGTGACCAGCACGTGACCAGCACGTGACCAGCATGACCAACAGAGAGAATTATAATTCTAAAGCAGCCTCATGAAAAGGAGTATCTCAAGTACCGTACATCAACTACTACTCGTATGAGGACCCGTCAGTAAGAGGGGCAGGTATAACCTAATAACCTAAAAACTTAATAACTTACTTCTTATTCTATTAGTTATTAGTTAATACTTGTTGCTTGATCATGTAACTCAGTCGGAGATTAGTGAATCGTTACTAGGGGAAAACCTCTTTAATCTTTTAAACTATTATTGCTTATCTAGTTTACATAGAGAAGGAGTGTGGGACGTGGGTCTCCAAAACTGCGATCTAAAACTATTTTAGCATATTTGAAATTTCAAGTTCATTTTAACCTAAGACTCCGGGCTATTCCAAAATTTACAAAATTGCTATGAATTTATTTACAACTCATATTAAAGGCAGAAATTGAGCAACTCAAAGAACCAGCATAAAGAAATTTTTTTCAAGATTTCTACCCCCTCCCCTCTGTGTGGCATTCCGACATTAGAATAATTGTACAATGTACATCATTGCGGTAAAAATAAACAAATATTTCAATATCAATCAGGAAGTATGAAGCCAAAGATCTTATTGATAGCTGTGATATTGGTAATTTCCAGTGGTGTAAACAGCCAAGAAGACGAAGTTGTCGAAGATGCAGTGTACGGTGAAGACGCATCCTTCATCCTCAACCAACCTGTGGCACTAAACGCTAAAAAGTTCTCCGAAGCACTAAAAGACCAGAGTGTGGTAGCTACTTGTAGGTACCTGCTCTACAAGACCTGGAAAGATTGGTATGAAGCCAAGGACCTCTGTGAGAACATTACTCTTCCCATAACAACCCGGGGTAAGAGTTCCATGGCAACCGTTAAAACAGAGTTCGAAAACAAGGACATAGTCACGTTGATGAAGCTGGGGTTTGGAGTTAAAAGTGTCGGCAAAAATATAACAGAAACAACTGGGTTTGGCTGGGCTTGGAGAGAGTTGTCAACAATGACGTCAAACAGGACAAAAAGAAGAGAGGGGAAAAGTACTTCCTTCCATCTGAATGGAAGTGGGTGGACGGGTCCGAGCCGGTGTGGTGGAACTGGCAGAAGAAGATGCCCGACGGAGAGAAGGACAAGAAACTAGAACTCTACCAGGACAAGGTTTCTCTGAGTAAGAAAGGTGAGTGGGACGACAGCCTGCAATACAAGACAATGCCGTATGCCTGTAACTACTGCGGTAAGTACATTGTCATTCAGAAACACGTGAAATGGGAGCAAGCGAAGAGCATGTGCAAAAGCTTTGGACTGACATTTGCTACAGTTAACAGTAAGCAGGAAAACGATGATCTGGACTTGGCCGCTAAACTGATGATGGGAGCAGACGTCGACCACAAGAGATGGAACGAAACAAACTGGATTTGGCTGGGCACAACTGAGGTCATGCATACCGACGGTACGGGATCTGATGTGTGGGAGCATCACGACGGTTCCCCTCTCCTCTGGGAGCCAAACTGGGACTTCAAGAGGCAGCCCGATCACTGGGTGAGAAGAGGCAAGGAACAGACTGCTGTGGCTTTCTCCAGGATCAACACAAAATGGGACGATTCTTTTGTCTGGAAGAAACGTCCTTTTGCTTGCATGTGTCCTGACGCAGCTTGCACAACCAATATTTACTAAAAACAGAGATTTGGTTAAGAGGAGTTTGATTCAACATGGCGTGGCGACGAAATGAAATTGGACACGATTTTATAGACTTTAAATGAAATAAATAAAAGTTTAGTGAATATTACGGTTAATTTGGATTGCATTTTATAGACAGCATTTCACTGCTTCGTCGAGTTAAGTAATCATAGTTGACACAAAAATAAAATGTATCTAAACTGACCTAATCAAGTCATCTCTCTGCTCAAGGATCCACTTTTCCGAATCATCCCGTGCATGTTGTAGCTGTAACTTCTCCTGCTCAAAGCGCTCCTTAGCGCCGTACAGCGCCGAGTATTCAGCTTCTAGCACCGAGAATCCCTTCGATATCTGGCCTAGTGTTAGATGAGCTCATGTTTTTTAAAGAAAACCATCTCCACAGTTTTTAAAACTGGAGAATGTCACCAATTCATTAATTTACCGCTTTGATTTTAAAAACAGAAAGTTATCAATTTTAAAACTCGCACCTAAAACAGATTCTTTGAGCTTCTCTAGCCCCGTGTGTTTATCAATATCCGGTATTTGGAAGTCTGTGAGTGGAGGCACCGCAGGTAATTCTTCCTGAACATGACTTTGTTAAGTCGAATCAAGAATTTAAACTTGCTTTTATTTAAAAGTAATTAATTTGAATAAATAGGAGATAATCATGTTTTCCCACTGTTCTGGAGCACCACGTGACTGCAGTGCACGAAGCTGTATACTTGGGGCAAAATGACGAAGAAAATTTGAAGAATGACATCATCAACAGAGTATTGTCTAAATGAATACCATGCAGCCAGTCAACGCCAGGGAAATCTTATTACATGATAATCTAAGAAAAAAAGTCACCCAAAAGCGAAATCACACCATGATCTATCATGGCGCATCAAACTCTTACCTTACCATTCGTAATTTGATACATGAAAATTACTGAGGGAGTGACATTAGTTCGATATCTTTATAAGGTCACTCACTTTATCTTAATCTAATCAGCATATATGATAGAGTGCGGAAGCAGATTTCTGGTCACTAATGTAGTGTAATATGGTAAGCTAAGTGCAGCAGGGTTTAGGCTTTAGATCTTTTAGAATATTCTAGTATAAGTGTTAAATAACCGTTAGGATTAGTGTTATAGATTATGGATGGTTTTGGACTTTGGAGGACACGTGGTAGTCAGGGTAGTTAGTTAGGTTATATTATTGACAGACTGAGCCACGTGTTGCCGCGTAACGCAGTGCTGGAAATTCTCATCTGCCCCGTTACGCTCAGTTCTTCGAGTGGCTTGTTGGGTAAGGTTTATAAAATTACCGTTGCCGAAGAACACTGTAACGTGGCCGATGTGTCACTAGTATTAGTTTGATTGACTGTAATTCACGCTTCGAAACTTGTTGTTCGAATACACTGTTTCCTTTGTTCTTACCTAACTTAGGACTCGATCAAGTCATTCGATCTTTTAAAGTCATACGGCACTCAGTAACCAGTAAGAGCTAAAGTGAAATTGCAGAGCTTGAGAGCTAGAGATTTGCAGGTATTCGTGTACGAGACTTCGATATCGTACCCGTATATTTCTTTAAGTACCGTGTACGACACTTCAATATCGTGCTTGTGTATTTCTTAAGTTCTGTGTACGACACTTCTCTATCATACCCTTGTACATTTTAATTACCCGTGTACGCCACTTCGTTACCGTACCTTTGTGAGCAGGCAGTGTTGACCATTGGTACGCCCCGGGAGGACTGATCTGGTTGCCAACCCTATTTTACACTAAATGGCATGCTAGCGAGCGCTTTGTTTTACAATTCACGATACTGTTTTGAATTGTGGCGTGTACCGCGTAAGACCGTGTTCTGTGAGGTAGCGGTGTGATTTAAGGGACCCTTTTAAATGAGGACTGCTTTTAATGTGTGATGTTTTTACTGTGTTATTTTTGTGTGTGCCTTTTTGCTGTCACTTGTTTGGCTTGTTGTCATAAATATCGTTGGTATTAAACGGAAAAAAGATTTAAAATCGATCACAGTTTACTCCTAGAACATATATTATTATTTGGATTTTCAGGTCGGTAATTTTGATTAATAGTACACAAGAATTGGTTTCGTGTGCATTCCTTATAGTTTTTAGCGCTGATCATTTGAATATAATTCAGCAGATCTCAGTAGTCAGTGTCGTTTGTCTAATTGATTTGCATCAGGAAGCTACAGGAAGAAAACTGAGGGTACACACGGTTTCTATTCATCACACAACAGTGCTGTGTAACAAGAACAATATCACAACATTGCATTGCTACGGAGGCTTGCAAAAGATCTCGAAAACTGTCGTAATAGTCGATAGTTTATTTTGATGTCATCGACAAACTTAGTCGAATGCAAAAGATGAATCATCAGTGCGTGCATTCTGACGGTGGAAAACTATTCATATGTGATGTCAAGCGGAAATGCATCGTCCTTAAATTGTTACACAACAAACGTAAAGACATGCTTGAAGTTGACGTGGCTGACTTTGACAAAATGTTTCCGGAAGGCTTACCTCCGATATTGTGGATAGAGAATTCTGTTTACAACTCGGCAACAACTTTTGATGACTACCACAGAATAATGAATGAGAAGATTTCACAGCGTTTGCTTATGGTTGGTAGCCTTAAAGACGAAGGACCAAAACAGGATAGTGAAACAGGGACTGAAACAGAAGGTGAAACAGCTGGTGAAACGTCAGGTGAAACATCTGGTGAAACAGCTGGTGAAACTTCAGGTGAAACAGCTGGTGAAACAGCTGGTGAAATAGCTGGAGAAACATTAGGTAAAACAGCTACTGAAATAGCTGGTGAAACATTAGGTAAAACAGCTAGTGAAATGGCTAGTGAAACAACTGGTGAAATAGCTGGTGAAACATTAGGTAAAACAGCTACTGAAATAGCTGGTGAAACATTAGGTAAAACAGCTAGTGAAATGGCTAGTGAAACAACTGGTGAACTAGCTGGTGAAATAGCTGGTGAAACATCATGCGACACAGAACACGATAGGGATACAGAACACGATAATGAAATACAAAGGCTAGAGAAACTACTTAAAGATAAATTCCTGACTATGACTACCGAGGAAGTTATCACAAAGAATTTCCAGTCAGATGAATTTCACCTCCATCTTCGAAGATTTGAGATACTGACGAGATACAGTATAGAGGGTAATGACAAGAACACCAAGATAGATCTAACGGACGAGACAATATCTTGGATTCTATCCACAGCAGATGTGATGGAAAAGTTGATGTACAGTGGGAATACCGTCAGCATTGCGAAATCAATTATAATTCTCAAGACGATATTAGAGTTGGACGATGGGGCAAAGACTGGGTGGAAATTGAAATTAGCTGTAGCGATAGCTCTTACGTTTAACGAAGAGATAAGACAACGTCAACCTACGATCACCAGTATTTGCCATTACTTCGAAGATGGGCCTATCATCGATGGTATAAAACGATATTGCAACTTCGTTAAATGGGCACAAGCAGGCGAACTATTTAACACTTTCTTTGATTTATCTGTGTGGCACTTAAGGAATGTGGTGAACGCTTACGTTTCCGATGATGAGCTTATCTGTGCGCGCAAGATCACCAAAACTAAAAACTTACCATCAAATCCAGAAAAGATTCGAAACTCATTCTTTGGAGATATGATAAAATATAAAGCTTACAGACTAGGGACTGAGTTTACCAACCCTGAGAACTTTTACTTGACTAATTGGGTCACACTCAAGGACATTTATCATTTTGGAGGAGCATGTGGCGCCAAGGCTCACTTCGGAGCTGCACTGAGTCAAGCACATGGTCTTCCCGCCCAAATATTATTGCAGCCTGGCCACGCTATGTACATATGGTACAAACCTGAAACTGGCTGGGTCCTCAGTGGTCAACACAGATTCTCCTGGCAATATGCCTGGTTTAACGAGTGTGGACAACGTGCCTATGTAGACAGTTCCATCTTAATTCCATATATGGAACAGTTACAGAAGTTCTACGCGGACAATACAGATCCCATATCTAAAGCTTTAACAGTTGCAGCCATCATGCAATTTGAATGGGGATTTAACACTGGTCTCTCTTTTCTTGAAAAGTTTTACTCCACAAAATTAGGCGAAAGGTTGTTCAATTCATTTAATATTCCTATAATGACTCATCATATTCCATCAAGGTTTCAAAATTTAAATGTCGATGATATAATTAGAGTGGCAGCCAAAGAGCTTTCCAGTGAAAATTTATTGAAATATACCATTCGCTCGGAATTGGAGACGCTACAATTCAAAGACTTTCAATGGGAGATTTCAGGGGCGGTCCTGAACTTTAAATCTTTCAGCATGGTGAGAAAAATTGAGTTAACTTGGAAGAGTAAAAAGTATGAACCGAAAAAAGTTGAGATATTGTACAAATTTGAGGGCGAACTTATTCTTAAAACAGAAGATTTTACAGCTTTTCCAGATGCTTTAGTAGATCAAATCACCTTACTCTTCGATTACGGAGATGCTGAATTTTATCCATTTAAAGTGAGGAAGATGGTTTTTAAGGGAGTTATGTTTCCCCTAGATAAAATATTAGATACATGTGTGAACCAACATTTTCATGATAACGAGCTAGCCAAGATTTGTGTAAAACGTATTGTAAGCTGGATATTATACCGCTTTTCTGTTGATTGAATTAAAAATACCGTATACACTAATTTTGCCTCAGATTTATGTTTTTTACGTTTTAAATTTTTGATAGAAATATTTTTATATCATGAATACGATGTTGTCACATGATTGAAACGTTGAATATTTCCTTTCCTGATAATGATTGAATGAAATGATGGAATGATTTAAAACTTCGTATTTTTACGTATTTAATTTCGAGAGGTCAAATACAGCGTCCTTTTTAACCGATTTTTATCTAATTTAACAACACTGTTTTATACGATGATAATTCGTTTTTGTGAAATTCTGTTGTTTTTTTCCATCTTACATATTGTTCACAGTTACTAAAAATGATGTAAGATGTTAGGATAAAAAATAGAAAGCAGCACGATAAAAACCTGTATTTTGAAGAGTGTGACGGGAGGGGAAGGGTTGTCTATCTGACAAGTAGGCATCTTCCTTCCTCTTAAACTGTGTATTTGCAGTACCCAGCAATCTGGCAAGATAATAGGATGCGGATGATTGGTTACTAATTATAGGATGATTGGTTACTAATTATAGCTCATTCGTTAAATGTGAAACACTTAAATTAAACTCGACACCAGTTAAATGTCGGACCTTTGTATTTCAGCCTGGTGAATAAAAACTGGTGTCTTTTATATTAACATCGATTTGAATGTTCCTGAATCTGGGCCTCGGTAAGACTCCACACAGCTTGTTGCAACAATCGTTCAAATATTAACAGGTAAAAAACAGGTATTAAAAGCTCATTATATCAGAACTTACTCCCACGAGTCCCACATGAGAGCACTCAGAAGTTTACATACCATTTAAAGTATCATCGTTGAGTCCACCAAATACGTATAGCAATTCATTAAAAAGGGTCGATACGTGAACATGTCTGGTCTCTGGCTGGGTGCCAAGTGTATCACACGTGTACCATGAGTTGGAGGAGAGGGAGTAATACCACACCTGGTGAGGAGTGACATTACATATAATGGGCACAATCCGGTCAATCGTAAATATTCATTTAGATCACGTGGTCAATCGTTGAATATTTCTGATTGGCTGAAACACATCACGTGATCTTAAAGTGCTTGACAAGGCGTTAGTTTTCTTTTTTCCTCGAGGTTATATTCCTTCGAAGCAATAAAGTAGTTAAATGTAACACACGACAGGTCTTTGTGGTGGGAAATCAATTTACAGGTCTCTCGTTTATTAGCTCTGGTTTATTAACGTATATAATGACCGGCCTGTCACATGTCTTCGAGGTGAACGTTGCAATGTGGTATTCTATTAAAAAGAAAAAAGCATTCATTTCTTGGGTAGCTATCATTTCAGATCTTGGTGAGTTCCATTATTCATCTAAGGATGTTTAACTGAATCTATTAATGTCTGAATGTAAACATTTTGGGCACTTTATAAATTTATAAATTTAAGTGTAAACCAAAGAGGGTCAGTCCTAGAGTTTTGGTAACAGATAATCAATACGAATAAAGTACCCTAACTTTATACTGTGATACAAATTTAACCATATACAGCACTAACAGTATAGCTGAGTATTAGCTGACCTGATTGAAGCTATGTTCAGGCAAGCTATCGTTGCTTCCCCCAAACAGTATAATATAGTTGCTATCATAGTATGAGATGGTGCTAAAGTCACAGGGTGACGGGTACACTCCACTTGATATCTTTATCTTAGTCCAGGTTAGAGTGGTTAGATCCAGGCAGTGCAGATCGTTATACCTGACATTTTATATTGTAATTTACTAATACTAAATATAGGTAACTTTCATATTACCTTTTAAATATCATAGTAGTATCATGTCTCTAGCTTAGAGTTAAAGCCGCTTAAAGTCAAGCTTAAACTTAAAACTTTAAAGGAAAGAAAGGAGTTTTAAGAGCCTCCTGGTAACTTACCATAACACATGAGATCCACTGCCTCCGAACACGAACAGTTTATTATCCGAGACAAGACTACAGTGATCTACCCGAGGTTGGGGGACTGCTCCTTTGGTATCAACACAGGTCCATCTTAGAGGGCTCGCACCTGAGGGTTCAGGGTAACTTACATCGTTACTTAACATTCCTTACATTTAGACTTAGTTACTTAACATTCCTTACATTTAGTCACTTAACATTCCTTACATTTAGTTACTAACTTTAACGTTCACCATTATACAGAAAAATGTTCCACTATTAATATTAAAAGGTAAGGTCGGACGATGAAAGTTTAGTAAGGACTACAAACTATTCATTTGACAAAATTAAAACTAAATATTAAAGCAGGAAGAACTTGGAGGAAGAAGCTTACTGAGGTTAAGAGTATAAAGGTTATTAGAAGGTTCATCCATCATCACACCACCGAACATGTACAAAGTCTTGTTTCTCACTGATATAGACTGTGATACTGGCCCTGGATCCCCTAGTAACTCTACCTGAAATTTAGCTAATGAAATACATTTTACGCAAGAATTTTGGCTCTTGTAAAACAAATGCACTCCATTTATGGCACTAGGATTTTACCAGCTGTAAGGTTTAAGCAGGGAAATCATAATAATAATAATAATACGACTAACGCCAGTTTAAATAGAGCTCGCAAGTCGCAACATAACACCCAGAAAACACAGACAAATAAACATTGAACCCACCTCATACCAGGTAAAGCTTGAAGTATCCAATTTGTAAATTCCCCTGACATGCTCTAAGGTGAACTCATTGCAAGTACCCCCATACAGGTACAGGAACCCCCCACATTCCACGAGAAACCCCCCCACACGAGGCCCGGGGTTTACTCCTGATGTCGTTACCTTGTTGCTGTATATCTGCCGGGGATATGGAGGGTCAAACTAGGGTTTTCGTTCAAGGATAGAAATGGGTATCTAATCAATAATCTTGATATCTTTTGTGAAATCAGCAGCGGTTGATGCAGGATGCTTCACCTTTGATCCGTTGAGAGTGAAAATGAAGAGATCGTCGTAGTAATGATTGATACCGTTATCGTCCATGCAGGCTCCTCCGAAGACGTACCATCTCTCGTCAATCCTACACTGAGCACAGCCATATTTAGCTCCAATCTGATCTCCTTCTATTGTACATTGTAGCCATGTTCCTTCAGACATCCAGCTCCTGGGCCACAAAGAAATAATGGTTAGTGATATCATAAATAAAACGAGAAGAGTAGACAACCTTTAGTTTTGCGAATAAAATCGATTATCAGTGTGAATAAAACATAGTTGGGGCTATAAGCCTTCCATTTTCAATCCACTTTTCTAGTCGAATTTTCAAATAAACAAATAATGTACTAGTAATGAAACAAAAACTGGGCACAAATGATAAAACATAACATAACCATTATATAATAATATGATGAATATGATCGGCAGTTAATAATCGGTAGCAGGTAGCCTAAGCATTACGGTTGTTCTTGCGGAATGTTTAAGTTGATGCTCGCAAATGCTGACCAATTTTGACTCGTTAATCAATTTAAAAATTATCAATGAACACATGCCTGAATCTGATAGTTTACAACTTTGTACAGTTAAAATTAATTTAATACATTTTTCACTCCAAATTGCGATCAACACAATTTGAAAACGGCATAAAACATTCCATTGACGCATCTAAATTCTAAACGGTGGAATTTAAGCCTGACTATTCATACAACGCACAGCATCGTACGATTCCTCGTATTAAGCGAATATCAGTTCATCTCCACAACAAATATTATATACGATCTTAATCAATAGTAAAACATGTTATCACGGCTGATAAAATACTGATCTTTAAACGACTAAACAGCACAGGATAACTTTCAAGAATTTAATCTATTTGAGGTATGATGAGCATCAGCTTTCTTGGGCATCAGGATCATAATCAAAGTCATTTTCATCAGGACTGTTTAGTCGCAGTTCTTCTAACACGTGATCTTCGTACTCTTCCGTGTTTTCTTTGTAGTGCAGAGCCACTCTTATCTGATAAATTTAGAGAGCTGATTAACCCAAAGTTTGAGTTTTGTGAAATTTCATAACGTCGACTAATAATAAACAAATTATGTTGGAGAGTTTAAATTTTTGTTGACTTGTTGTTTAGTAGGGTCACTATATATATACTACACTTGATGTTACTTATATTAAAGTTATGGCTGCTTTAGATAATATGATAAAGTTCGCATTTAAGACAATTATTCTGATTACGAAAATCCCAAAATATCCAAGATACTTACTGCTTCACGAAATATTTTGACGACGTTGCTTCCATCGGCAGCAGATGCAAAGAACATTTCTATATTGTTAGTTGTTGCGAACTTGAAGGACTTTCCCGCCATATCCGGATCTTTGTCGATCTTGTTGGCCACACAGATAACCGGAATTTTGGGTCGGTATTTCCGGAGTTCCTTGTACCAGTTTGTGAGGTTTCTGTAAGTTACCTGAGAAAAGATTTTGTCAAAAAACCAAATCTAGGACAGTCTGATACCTCAAAATAATAATATCTAGTATATTCGGAACAGTAATTCTAAACTGCATAAATGATGAGTCGCAACAGCTACAGAAGTTTTCCCAAGACCGACCTTTCTGCTGACATCGAAGACAAGTATGCAAGCTTGAGCACCGTGGTAGTAAGCGGAGTGCATGCTCTGAAACCTCTCCTGACCTGCTGTGTCCCATAACTCTAAATCAACCTGACAGCAGATATGACATTATAAGTGGCGGTTCTAACTAGATAAAAAAGCTCAAACATTTATATTTATTCTGGTGTGAATTACTTAAACGTCTAAATTACTGATTGGGATATTGTTGATACAAATTAAAAATGACAACATAAAATTTTGATGATACCGTGATTTTGAATCAAGGTTTCACAAGGCCAGACGTCATCAATTGACAATAATCATAACATAAACATCAAGAAACCTCTCTATCATCCACAGTGTCTGTATGTTTAAAAAGTGTGAGAGCGTAAGTAGAGAGTTGTTGAGGTTTGTAGTTGTCTTTTAAATACCTCTCAACCAGCTTGCTTTTACCAACTGCGCTGTCACCCAAACATATCACTTTCACTTTTTCGTTAGCTGCCATCCTGTGCCAGATTTTGGGGTAAGATTGTGTTTTTTATACGATGGTAACTGTAGATTATAATTACGATACTTTGAGTCAGTTCAGCATAAAATAGATTTAATTTAATTTATATAGCAAAATGTAAAATTTTTCAAGAAAGGAAGTATTGGGCCTAATTATTAAATGACTGTAATTCTGAAATTACACAATTTGGTAATCGTGAACACGGAACATTTCCAATTATATTAGTAGTCCTTTTTTAAACTATAAAAGTCATGTTTTATGAGCAAAGAAAGTCGAATTGTTTTAAAATATCAACAGGGATTATTCTAAGGACTATGATTGTAGTTTACAATATTTATTATATACTGTTATTTAAAATAAATCTGTTCTGAAAATTAGTCAAGCATGACCTGAAAATGAGACGCAATCTGTAACATAATCTGCAGTTTTATTGTTTTATTTAATTCACAAAGTTACATTAAATATGTAATCATAATGTTCTGTATTCTGGAATAAAATATAATACTAAAGTACACAATATTATCGATACCTTGTGCAATGTGTAATAGATTGACATGCATTTATTAAAGTTTAATCTGTCCCCAAATATCTCATATAAAAATTGTCGATACGATAAGTCATAGTAATATAATTTGTCGATGTTACAACCATGCATAACAAAAGTTAAGTCATAAAATTTCTGATGACGAGTTGTGCAATGTAACAATGAACTTTAACCAGTTGGCTTATAAATATGTAAGAGCAAGGAAAACAACTCATGCTGGAAGAAACTCAGATAGATAAATATTATCAGCTATTCCATCACAAGAATTAATAATTTCGTTACAAACATCATCCACAAGGTTGTCAGCGATGTTATCAACTATATTGTTAATAGTGGCCCAAGGATCAAACCCACTTGTTTTAAAATGTTTGGTGAGTCTCAAATACTGGAGCATTGCATTTTTGTAACTCTCAATTTGACGCATGTTCTGCTTAGGAAAGTTCAGTAAAGCTAACCCAGTTTTTGTACACTGACTGTGAATAGCAGGTGGAGTAGCTATAATACTTGTGGGGATAAGCTCAGCACTCGGTAAGCACACTAGAGGAACCTCTTCAGTCATGTTTAAGGGATTGCTGTATTGCATATGCAACCACCTGCTTCTGATATCATCATCTTCCTTTTGAATTTCTTCTAATTGACCCAATAATTGTGTCATTGTTGTGCTCAGTTCTTTGGTCTTGAAGCTTGGTTCTGCACAAGGGATTGAAATAGGTGAAGGTATAACTGCCTTGATTTCATCAAATTTCTCTTCGGCATGTGATAATTCCCCAGTTGACAGTGTTAACTCAGGAGAAGCAGGGCAGTTACCTCTTCCAAGCTCATCAATCCAAGCTTGTCTTGCTACCTCTCGCTCTGTTATAAGAGGAGTCACATTTCCTCTAATCTCCAATGGATCCCATTTAGCTTTATTTGGCGCAGAGGTTGGTCTTAAAGGCTCATGTAATGGTTTTCCTAAAGGTCTCTTTCCCCTCTTCACACCAGCTGACATAGCTCGTTTGTAGGTATTATTGTATCGTGAAACATTCCCTTTTGACTTAGGCTTGATTACCTTTGAATTAGATGGTTTTGTAGAAGGTGCTTTTTTGTTGATAACAAGGTTTTTTGGAGGTCGGGACTTTTCTTTTGCAGATATATTCATCTTTGACATATTGTTGACTATAAGTGACTTAAGAGCAGCTTTCAAACTTTCATTCCTATCCGGGCTCAAAGGAGATCCAGTTGCTTGCTTCACTTTATCAGCAAGATTAAGCTTACCAGCAGGTCCTATAACACTATTTGTAGAAACAACTTGTGACGGAGAAGGGGCAGGAGATATTAATGTTGAAATTTGGACATCCTGCAATTCACAGATTGTCCTTAACTCCTGAAGAAGCAGTTTTAAATCACCTCTCACTTTCTTTACAAGGTCTGTCATGTAAGTAGATTGCAAGGTTCGTGAAACACGTATGAAACTGTTTAAAGCACTCATCAGTGATCTGTATGCTGTGCTCATATGACTGAACACATTACTTTGAGTCAACACGATTCCTCTGTGAATAAATGCTGTGCGCTTCAGCTGGCCAACAAGCTCAGAAACGTGGCGTTTTGTGTTGTAAAGAAGTCTACACAAATGCCTCCGCTGTTCTTCAACTCTGCGCTGAAGCCTCAGTTCTACAATAGGATCTGGATACCCTTGTTTGCTTACTGGCTTACCAAGATCAATGTAAGCATGTTCTATGTTGTCAATCATCATAGAAATAGACTTTATAGATTTGTTTGCAGTTGAATCAGGTGCTGCAGAAGGAATATTAACTCTGAACGAAGCTGATTTGTTTGGTCTCCATACTGAAGCTTTTCTCGATTCAACAGGGTTTCTATTCGGACTGTGGGAAACATAAGGGCGTCCTGGACTGAAAGAGGTACGTGCTGGTGCCTTTACATAGCCATGTTTGTGCTGGCTTAAATTATTGTTAGAGACCAGTTTTTCAGGGCTCTTTATTTTAACCTCTTTTACTGGAATGTGATCCAAGTCATCATCTTTGAATAAGTTCCCAAGGCGAATATCTCTCTTGGCAAGAAGCATCGCTCTCTCCATTGTGTTGTTGTTGTCATGATGGTTTTCTATCCCATTAAAAAGCATAGGAGAGGGTTGTCTTATTGCTGCTTTGTTGTTGATTGCCGCATTAGCTCTCTCAAGGTTGAACTGAAAGTAACAATATGTTATTATTATTGAAGGGGTTTTCATTTCGTTTTTTAATTCATTCATTTTTAAACAGGAAGAACAATTTCAGGACAAACCTAACTGTAATACTTCAAATTATTATAAAGTTTAGCTCTATTTAATGAAATCATAAGTATCATACCCTGAGCTGTTCAGTAACATATGGCATTGGCAATCTTTCAGGTCATTTCAGAATATGTTAGCTTGCAGTCATCCTGAGAAGCAAAATCAATGATCTTAAAATAAACATTAAAAACATGAGGGGGTAATAAACAGTAAAACCTCAATTAACCTTGCATTTTGAGGAAAGGAAAACATAGACTTTTTAACTATTCCTAGTGGATATCTATTAGCTACATTTCAGCTGCTTTTGGTCCCATCGAAAAACATTTTATGGCTGATCAAATGAAAAGACATTTTCATATTTATATATTACGTAAACACAGAGGGGGAAGAGGAGGGAGGTTTAAAATTGGCCAGAAAGTGATTGCGGAATAAGTGAGTGACCCCTTATACTCCAATAGCAGGGAGGTGTTGAGTGTGCACCTCATTGCCCAAAGATTGCTACTGAATCGGGTTAACTAGGTTATTGGTACAACTCAAATCAATCTAAAGTGAATACTTTTGGGGAGATTCATAAAACCCCAGTTTCTAGACACTATCCTTTTGATATTGAGATATTGGTATCTCAGATCACGTGAACATCGTTCCTTTTTTATGACACAGTAATTTATTGACACTCACAGCTATAATTTTAATCATTGAATCAGTATTTTATCTGTGCTCTGCGTAATGCATCACATGAATCAGTTTTTTAATCTATTAACTTATTACACATTTGTGCTCTGCTTTAGCATCACTTGACTATTTAAAAAAATTGTTTGTTCAGGCCATGACCTTATAGTCAGCCAATTGGCCATTGCTATATTATGTGTATATTGTTTGAATATTCTTTCCTTTAAAAAAAAATAAAACCTGTTTTGACATATTATATTTTGTGCATCCTAAATAATACATACTTTACTGTTATCTTGGCCTTGGGTGCGCTAACAATGTCTAAAGACATTTGCAGTACTTAGCACAGTGAATCGTTCAACATGACCATATTTAGATAACATTTATGGAAAATCACATGCCATATAACTTTTAAATCTGATATAATAAATAATTAGTTTCAGAAGCTCCTTGCAACTATTTAACTATCTCAGCTCCCTCTAGATACCTCAAACTCTAAACATCAAATTATATATTGCTTAAGACCGGAAGTTAACTCAAAATTAGTTAAACAAATTAAAAATTTTTGACATCTAACCAGATTGCAAATGTTGGAACTAATTGTATCACTTATATTTTTTAATTTAAGAAAAGAAAAAAAGGGGGACCCCTTAATAACAAATAATATAACGGGTGATACTCGTAAAATATTTGTTTCATATATTATTATTCGACGTCACGAGTCCAACTCGGCGCGCGTCCTGGAAGGTTGTAAACCTACAAGGACCGGCCCCAACCCATGTAGCTGAGACACCTCACAGCAAGAAGACCAAAGTTGCTCTTGCTTGTGAACCGAGCGTGCTAAATCACTCTACAGTCGATCTTCGAGATTGTTTTGGTTGACGATGTCAACCCATCGAGATCGTTGCTCTGCAAAGCAGAGCAACGATCGACGATCAACGATGCGAAGCAAGAATGCTAGTTCGCGCGGCGCGTCGAAGCGGCGAAGTCCTCCAAAGATTGTTCTGAAAGGGCCCCCGATGGTTGTCAGTTGTAACCATGACCAACTTCTATTAATGTATTTTCGGACGCTGATTCCGAATCAACCCCCATGACATAGGGTTAAAATGCTCTCCTAACGAGATATTGGCGAAAAACGGCGAATTTTTGTTTAACTGAGTCTAATATCTCGTCAGGGTTAGGGTTTCGGCATATGTTTTTGTTAAGGATTGGGTTAAGGTTAGGGTTGGGATCAGATTATAGAGGGTTAGGGTTTCGAAAAGTCGTTCAGAACCCCAGCAGACCTTACTGGCTAGCGATATTACTACAGGGTGATCGCCTTTTCACAGCTTGTTGAGCTCCGCGCGCGCTCGTGAGTTCATTGCATTTGCACGCTTCAAACATTCCAAAGATGCAATTGTACCGCGTACCACGTGATACGATGCAGCCATTCAGAGAACAACAATCTGCAAAGTTAAAGTTGTGCAGTTTTATATGACCTAAAATACGACTTTTCGCGATAATTCAAAATCTACGTTGTTTTTAATTTCCCCCTAGCTGGGGGGAAACGTTATTTTTACAAGGCGAACATTTTATTGAAAACCAGACGTTCGCGTTTCTATCTCTTTTACTTTCAAAGTTAGGCTCCAGCCAGTAAGGTTTCCTGGGCCGGCTAGAGAACGGGTTAAAAAAAGTCACGTGACAGTCGAGTGTAGAGTAATTAATCATCATCCCTTGTGAACGGTGTATCAACTACTATCACTTATATTGCAAATTAAATTGTTAACTGAAAGTTTTATTAGAAAGCTTACACAAAATGTAAAGCTGTTTTTATTTGATTAAAGTTGATTACGAAAAGGGACCGGGAATAAAAATGTCCAAAAAATTATTACTTAATATATCATAAAGTAGTATCTCGTCGTGACCCCCATCACAGTTGTCATACGTTGTATGACCCGCCGCGCACGTGTGCGCGGCGTAGAAACTTTACAGGGTTAGAGTTCCGCCATAGTGAAACGACCGTGGGGGTCACGACGTGATACAGCATCACAACACACAAAGAGCCTAAAATGCAAAGAAACAGCTGAAACTGATGCATGATGCCGACTGCGCATGCTGCTAACTGCTACTAACTGCTGCTAACTGCTGCTGTCGCATGCGCTGCATTAGCAGTAGTTAACAGCAGTTTCTTTGCACTTTAGTCTCCCTGTGCCATTGTCGTTGCTCTACTATCGTATATACACGCCACACGGGGAGCTGCGCGCAATCTTGCGCGGCGGGTCATACAACGTATGACAATTTTTCATTTGGTAGCGTGCGTGCGCGCCGCAAAACGAGGGACTTTTAAGTAATCACAAATCATCGTGTTCTTATTTGACCATTGTTAATGGTTTGGCTCGGCGCGCGCTACTTCGTAGCACGTGCCATCGAGCACTTACCATCGAGCATGTACCATCGAGAAGAAACCGGCGCACGCTACTTCGAAGAAATTTAGACGACACAGGAGGAGCAAAGTGCAAAGAAACTGTCACTAACTGCTACAAACTGCCACTAACTGCCACTAACTGCCACTAACTGTTACAAACTGCCACTAACTGCTACAAACTGCCACTAACTGCCACTAACTGCCACTAACTGCTACAATCGCGCCCACGCACTGCGCGCGCAGTTTGCAGCAGTTAGTGGCAGTTTGTAGCAGTTAGTGGCAGTTTGTAGCAGTTAGTGGCAGTTTGTAGCAGTTAGTGGCAGTTTTCTGCAGTTGCGCCGAGCCTTTTAGCAATTTGTCTTTGGCGCCTTACATGCCACATGACTTATTGACATTGTATAATTGGTCTAAAAACAATTTTGTATTATTAGAAAATATATGAATTTGGGACAAAATAATTTACTATCGAAGGAAACAAATATTAACTTTTTGACAAGAAAAGCGATTACCAACTAGTACTACAGTTACACAAACACTGCATGGCAATACGATTACAAATTGTTTAAATGTTAAATCCGGGTATCGCTATTAGTATTGTGCTATTGTGCCAAAATTACAATATTATATGGTCAATCGTAATCATTTGCAATTTGGAAGACCCCTCTGCTGATATGTAAACGACTCCTTATACTAACTTGATTGTAGCAAAACGCGTGATGTTTATTGATCATCAGTTCGATAGGACGATAGTTATGAGAAAAGCTACAAAACTACAATTTCCATTACCAAAGTTTTAGAACTAAACGCTTGATTGAGGGTTCAGAACTTTATTTGAATAACAGGGCCTCCCACGGATTGAACAGTTTTGTGCGGAGAAAGAAGTGAAGAGAGTACGAAGCCAAAGAGTTCTCCGACAATTATTCCAGCCAGCCTCGCCGCAGCAACGCCAACAGCAAGCAGCTGGACTTATCCATGCAACATATATAAGTATATACAACGCTGACCCAGAATGGACATGCCACGGTACCACTATAATATTTGCTTCGATTCTCCGTGATACTGATAGCACTAGCAGTAGCAGAATTTGCTGCTTGTAATTCCTGGGCGTTGCTGAACCTGTCATTCCGCCCTATCTGCTATAGACATATTTTTAATCGCCATAATATGTTCAATGTTAAATCAATGTGTTTAACTTAATAAATGCAAAAGCCTGAGCGAGGTTACCCAGGTAAATTAATCTTTGCAAGTTGAATTTGCGTTTCTGAAACTACTCTCTGCACTGGTAATTGTATTTAAAAGGGAACACAAAATGATGTACGTGACCAAAATTATTCCCCGCGCGACGCTATAAGATTCTCTTTCAGCATTCAGTTTCAGTTAATTCTGGGTAATTCGCGCGTAAAATCATATTGGCACGTGTGCGTTCCATGTTCTCAGAATTAGGCAACGGTAAGTTTATAATCTTTAACTTTAACTGTTTGGAAACAGGTGTTGTTATTTTATGCTGGGAATCCCAAAAAGTGCTTGATCGGCCAGTTCATCATTGTGTCTCGCTAAATACTTGGCTAGTTTCATTAAGCTTCGACTAATCATCACTGTTGGCTTGGGGATGGTATTCAACTGTTGAGGGCCTACTGTAACAGCCATTAATACGCTTATAGTTTTCAGACAGCTACTAACCGATATCCAATGGGTCTCAGCCATAGAATAATACAGGCTCAATTCGGTGGCTCGGAAAAGTATAATCTATAATATTGAAAGGTTCATGCGCAAATTTACCTAGTTTAGCCGTCATTGATTAGGTACAGACCGACGGAATTGCTCATCAGCAGATCTTGCGCTTCCGCTGCTGTATCGGACGTCTGTGATCAAAGCAGTAAAGTCGACCTCCCATAAATTGACAACAGGATGTCCCCTGATTCTCCTAGGTTTCTGGATAGAAGTCGACTATTTATGCTCAATTCTCGAGCCGATAATAGTCTTGCTTAGATTTTCAGACAATAGTCTTAAGATTCCTGTTGGTTTCATCGGTGTAATTTATTACAAATATTATCTGTTCACCTTAAAGTTAGCAAATTTTGC